ACCTGCTGCCTGCTTCCCGCGAATCAAATCTTCGCGGGAAGCAGGGGAGGGGGCGGAGTTGGGGCGGGGACTTTGGGGGAGGGGGCGGAGTTTGGGCGTGGGCGGGGCGGGGGGCGGGGCCGGGCCCCCGTGGAGTGTCCTCTTTTGGGACACTCCACATATGGTAACCCTAACCCTGGGGAAAAGGCTCTTGGTTGCTCTAAAGGCTTGTGTGATCAAAAGTGATGCAGCTGCTCTTCACTTTCCACATTTTCAAACTCTGAGGGTTTAAAGCTCACCTCATTCCCTTTACTTTAGCACACACAAAAAAGACATTCATGTAACCCCTTTTTGAGTTGGCCCTAGTTTAGGGACGAATCTCCTCTTTGAAAGCAGGTCAGAACAGTACAAGGAAACCTCACACTTCTCTAGAGTGGCTCAGTCAGTGCACAGCTCAGACTTGCACTCAGAAAGCATTACAGTTTCAGCCACAAATAGTTTTGTAACTGCAACCAGGGGGTGAGATGTGGCAATAACATGGGATGGGGAAGTAAGCTGTGACACCTGGAATCAGATGCAAACTCAACCAGATGTAAACATGATCAGACATGAGCATGCACAAAGAATGACAGACATCTCAAAAGCAGTCAGCCCCACTCTGCACCAAGCTGCATTTGGATATCAGGAAGCCCATTTCTAAGTGGCAGGATAACAATTAACTTGTCACCATTCCCTGCTTCAAAGTCTTTGCTGCATTTTGGAAGTCATATTGTGTCCTAGCCAAAGTTCAAATCAGAAGAAATTCAGTACTGTCAGGGAAAAATTTCCAACAATTCAGCTTTTTCAGCAGGGAATTCCTTAAGTGTGTTTATTGGCTGTTTAAGAATACACGTGATAAACCAAAAATGCACAGCACTGATATTTGAAGTTCTGTGGTATCATCTCTCTGATCTTCCTTCGGCAAAGCATGGTGACAAAACGGAGGGCATCTCATGACAGTGGAGTTTGCAATGAAACCAGAATGAACAGTGTTTCTTATGGGGTCAAATCCCGAAGTCCATACTCAGGGAAATGTCATATTGAAGTGCTCAGAACACCTCAGGACTGTGCTCGGGTGAGGGCCTCCTAGGCAATTATGTTGAGATCTGCAATGTGTTAGGTGAGGCAATGGTTCTTCTACCCACTCCAGTGCTCCAGGGTGACACACATTCCTTTAGTGGAGAAATTCTAGCTGTGATAAGTGCACTCACCCAAGGAACCAGCCACCTACGTGGTGCCCAGAATGGTAAATCTTCATGAAAACAGCTTTATTCTCAAGGATAGATTCAAACTGTCTCCTGATGAAAACCTTCTCTTGCCATTTGCTGCCCAGCTAGCCAGGAAAGTGTGCCAGTCCCTAATTTTTGAAAGGCCACGTTTGAAGCGTATGTGGATCTCAGGGCACTGAGATGGCTGCAGCTATGGTGCATTTGGTGCTAGGGAACTAATAAGCCTAGAAACTGAAGTCCGCTATTCACTGTATGGGTGCAGCATGGCCAGAAGTGCCTCCAGCCTCCCTCACCCTGCCGTAGCCCATGTGCCCCAACCATGACCTCAGAGACCTAAGCATGAGAGGGCATTAGCTTACACATGGCCTCTGACAAACCTGCTCATCAGGATGCTGCTCAGTGCCCCAGGTTATCAGATGTGGGCACTGTCCCATCAAATGCTTGAGTGCAACGTGCTGCCATAGGCGAAGCAGCTGTCAGGGGGCAAGAACTTTCAGTCACTGCTAACCACAGCGGCATGGGAACCACCGACCTAGATGGGAAAGGCTCCCCTGTCCCACTCCCACTGCCAAGCCATCCTGCCTTGGTAAAATGCCCCCACGGCAGTGCCTTACTTAGCCTGAGTGGTCAAGGAGAAGGACCGCCTGGAAATCACCAGAGCAATCAAGGACGGGTGCTTGGCTGCTTTCATTTTTCTCCTCATCAGAGAAAACATTTTGGGCAGAACTTTCTCTTTGAACCCGCAGCCGAGGCAGGCCAGTCCTGCTTTAGTAATGTCTGCCCCCCACCCAGTACTGAGACAAAACCAAATGTGATTTTGACTGGTATCAGATGGGGACACCACTTTGATGAGTTCGCTGCTCTGTCCCCGGTGTCGTGTGTGACACTACACTCCATATGATTTTATGAAAATATGCTAATGAGTGTGAATATAATGTAACTGGAATATGCTTCATGAAAAGGTCTCTTGTAAGGTATCATTACAAAGCTTATAATCTACTGAGTGTGGTCATCCTATTTGTATAAATGTATCATTCTTGTATCTGAAACTAGAAATATGAAATATAACTCTGAGGTCCTATTGTAATTAGGCAAAGTGTGGGCCATTAATGGTGGTTTGGAATCTTGATGGCTCCCATCTACTAGGACAATTTGTTGTAAATGGCTTAAGCTTTATACAGAGTAAAACAGATTTATTTGGGGGTTGGATCCCATTGGGAGCTGGGTGTCTTGGTGCTAGAGACAGGAAAAGACAGTTACCTTTTCTATAACTGGTGTTCTTCAAGATGTGTTGCTCATGTCCATTCCACAATAGGTGTGCGTGCTTGCCACGTGCACTGGTGCCGGAAGTTTTTTCCTTAGCAGTACCCATAGGGGAGCATCCCTAGCGACCCCTGGAGTGACGCCTCTATGGCGCGGTATAAGGGGCGCTGCGAGCCCCCCCACCCTCAGTTCCTTCTTGCCAGACAACTCTGACAGGGGGAAGGAGGGTGGGATGTGGAATGGACATGAGCAACACATCTCGACGAACACCAGTTACAGAAAAGGTAACTGTCTTTTCTTCTTTGAGTGATTGCTCATGTGCATTCCACAATAGGTGATTCCAAGCTATATCTGTTGGAGGTGGGTAGGAGTTCACAGACACTCGGGACAAAGCACTGCCCTGCCAAACCCGGCGTCCTCCCTAGTCTGGGAGATGATCGCATAATGCGAGGTGAACGTGTGGACCGACGACCATGTGGCAGCCCTACAAATGTCCTGAATAGGGACATGAGCCAGAAAGGCAGCCGACGAGGCCTGCGCCCTAGTCGAGTGTGCCCTCACAATCGGCGGTGGGGGAATTCCCGCCAGGTCGTAACAAGTATGGATATACGAAGTGATCCAGTTGGAGAGCTGCTGAGTGGAGATCGGCCGACCTTTCATGCATTCGGTCATGGCGATGAACAGTTGCGAAGACTTCCTGAACGGTTTTGTATGTTCCAGGTAAAAGGCCAGAGTCCATCTCACATCTAGCATGTGGAGGCGGCGCTCCTCACTGGACGCATGGGGCTTGGGACAGAGGACCGGCAGGAAAATGTCCTGGTCCATATGATAGGCGGAGACCACCTTAGGGAGGAACGAAGGGTGTGGGCGGAGCTGGACCTTATCCTTATGGAACACTGTGTATGGGGGTTCGGCAGTCAGGGCCCGGAGCTCCGAGACCCTTCTAGCAGAAGTGGTTGCCACAAGAAAGGCTACTTCCCATGAGAGGTGTGACCAGGAGCATGTAGCAAGCAGCTCAAATGGAGGCCCAGTTAGCCTGGCCAGCACCGAGTTCAGGTCCCACTGAGGGACTGGGGGTCTAACATAAGGAAAGAGGTGATCCAAACCCTTAAGGAATCAACCAGTCATGGCATGCGAGAATATCGTGTGGCCCTGCACTGGAGGTTGGAAGGCCGATATGGCTGCCAGATGCACCATGACACACGAGGGCGGTAGGCCCTGGGCTCTGAGATGAAAGAGGAAATCTAGTACAAGCTGGATCGGAGCAGCCACTGGTGAGACACCCCAATCTGCGGCCCACCGGGAAAACCAAGACCATTTTGACAGGTAGGCCTGGCGCGTGGAGGCCACTTGCTCTCCAGGAGGACGCGCTGGACTCCCTCTGAGCAAGTCCTCTCCTCCCGGCCTAACCGTTGAGCAGCCACACCGTGAGGTGGAGGGCTGCTAGGTTGGGATGGAGGAAGTCCTGGGAGAGCAGGTCTGGGCGGGTTGGAAACAGCCATGGCGGGGCGACTGCCAAGCTCGTGAGAGTCCCGTACCAGTGCTGCCTGGGCCATGCCAGGGCGATCAGACGGACACGAGCCCTGTCCGTCTTTATCTTTTCCAAGACTTTGGCGATCAGCGGAATCAGGGGGAAAGCATAGGAAAGCTGACCCAACCAGGACAGGAGTAAGGCGTTGGAGATTGCGCCCAGGCCTAACCCTCCCCTGGAGCAGAAACGGGGACACCGGCAGTTCTGCCGGGTCGCGAAGAGGTCCACTTGGGGACTGCCCTACGTTCGGAAAATCCTGTGCACCATCTCTGGGTGCAGCGACCATTCGTGCTGAGAGGAGAAGTCCCGGCTCAGCCGATCTGCCCAAGAGTTTCGGACACCCGGTAAGTGGTGGGCTTCCAAGTAGATATTGTGGGCTATACAGAAGTCCCACAGTCTGAGGGCTTCCTGGCAGAGGGCTGAGGAGTGGGCTCCGCCTTGCCTGTTGATGTAGAACATTGAGGCTGTGTTATCTGTGAGAACCCTGACCACTCTGCCTGCTAGGCACGAGTGAAAGGCCACGCAGGCTAGACGGACCGCCTTGAGCTCCTTGACATATAGGTGCACGGCTAGTTTCTGCGCGGACCAAAGACCTTGGGTCTGGAGGTTTCCCACATGGACTCCCCACCCCAACTCCGATGCATCGGACACCAACTATATGGTTGGGGGCCAGCCCCTGAATGGGATCCCTTGGAGCATGTTCCCCGGGGTGGACCACCAGCAGAGGGAGGCTTGCACAGGTTTGGGCACAGTGAGGACTTTGTCCATCGTGTCTCTGGACTGGGAGAATACCGAGGCCAACCAGAGCTGAAGGGGCCGCATCCTGAGTCTGGTGTGACAAACCATGTACGTACACGCCAATATATGACCCAGGAGTTGAAGGCACGCTCTGGCAGTCATCACGGGAAACCTCATGACCACGCCAATGAGCTCCCTTAGGGTTTCAAATCTGTCCAGTGGGAGAGAGGCTCTGGCCGATGTCACGTCCAGAATCGCACCAATGTACTCTATGCGTTGCACCGGTACCAATGTGGACTTGGTGTTGTTTACCAGCAGCCACAGTGTGGTGCACGTGGACAGGAGGAGTGTTACAAGATCCTGTACCTGTGCCCTGGAGCTGCCTTTGACCAGCCAGTCATCAAGGTAGGAAAAGATCTGGACCCCCTGACGCCTGAGGTAGGCCGCTACCACAGACATATACTTTGTGAAGACTCTGGGAACTGTCGATAGGCCAAACAGGAGGACAGTGAACTGGTAGTGCTCCTGTCCTACCGTGAAGCGGAGGAAACGCCTGTGGCCCTCGAATATATGAATGTGGAAGTACGTGTCCTGTAGATCGAGGGTGGCGTACCAGTCTCCTGGATCCAGGGAGGGGATGATAGAGGGCAGAGAGACCATGCGAAACCTGAGCTTTACCATGTACTGGTTCAGGCCTCACAGGTCCAGGATGGGCCTGAGCCCCCCTTTGGCCTTCAGGATAAGGAAATAGCGGGAATGGTACCCCTTGTATCTGAACTCTACCAGCACCACCTCCACTGCTCCTAAGTGAAGGAGCCACCTCACCTCTTGCTCAAGTAAGCTCTCGTGAGAGGGGTCCCTGAAGAGGGATGGGGAGGAGGGTGGGTGCGGGGTAGAAAGAAACTGGAGAGTATAGCCCCAGGAGATGGTGTTGAGGACCCATCGGTGCAAGGTGAGCAGCAACCACTCTGGGAGGAAAGTACATAGGTGGTTGGAGAAGGGAAGGTCGGGTGGATCCCTGGTACAAACTGGTAAGTCATCCCCGGGCGTCCCATCAAAACTGGCGCTTACCCGCCTGCTTGCCCTTACAGGGCTCAGGCTGGGGTGCAGGCCGGGATTGCCGTTGTGGGCGCTTTTTATAGTCCCTTGATTTTTTATAAGGGGGCTCGTATCTGGAGTTGGTGGCCTGACTGGGGGCCTGCTGCAGTTTGAATTTGGTCCTGGCCGGGGCCGGAACATAGAGACCAAGAGTCTTTAATGTTGTGCAGGAGTCCTTAAGACCGTGTAACTTCACGTCTGTTTGTTCTGAGAACAGGGCCTTGCCATCGAATGGGAGGTCCTGCAAGGAGTTTTGTGCCTTGCTGGACAACCCCGATAACAGGAACCACAACACTCTCTTCATGGACACCACGGAGGCTGTAGATCTTGCAGCTGTATCCGCAGCATCCAAGGCTCCCTGAAGGGCCACCCTGGCGGCAGCTGTGCCCTCTTTGACCAGAGTCTTAAACTCCTTCTTAACACGCTCCTGGAGGGAGTCTGCAAATTTGGGCATTGAGCCCCACAAGTTGAAGTCATATCTGCCCAACAGGGCTTGGTGGTTTGCCACCCTCAGTTGGAAGCTCGAGGACAAATAAATCTTTCTACAGAATAAATCTAGTCTTCTCGAGTCCTTATTCTTAGGGGTAGGAGCGGGTTGGCCCTGATGCTCCTTATGGTTGACTGCCTCAACCACGAGCGAGTTGGGGGCAGGGTGGGTATACAAATACTTGTGCCCCTTGGCGGGCACAAAATACTTTTGTTCTGCCCTCTTGGAGATGTGGGGGCAAGGAAGCCGGGGTCTGCCACAGGGCATTGGAGATCTTTGTCACCCCTTCATGGAGTGGGAGAGCCACCCTGGCCAGCGCTGTAGCCAAAAGGACATCGAAGAGGGAGTCCGAGGGTTCCTCTACCTCCTCAGCTGGAAGGTTAAGGCTGGATGCCACCCTTTTCAAAAGTTTCTGGTGGACTTTGGTGTCCTCCTGCAGGACAGGAGGATGAGGAGCCTCATCGGGGGAGGATAAGGATGCGGTGCTCTGTGTCCCCACCGGTGCCAAGGTCCCACCACTTGGTCACCTTCTAAGCACAGGACTGGGGATGAGTGCTCCGCTGACCCCTTTCTGGGGGGCTGAGAGAAGGAGGCCGACAGTTTTTCCAAGGCTACGGCCACCGAGCAAGCCACCACTGGGGGCTGCATCGGGGGCCCATTGGTACCATGGTGCTCGCCAGGGAGCCCGATGCCACTGCACCTGCTCTGGCACTGTCGGAGCAGACTGCCCCGCCTGACTCACCGATTGTCGACTTTGAAGGGAGGCCGGGCTGGCATACGATCTACTGCTATCCTGGGATGGGGATGATTGGCGGCGGTGCGAGCGGTGCCGAGTTTGAGACCATGATCCTGGCATGGAGGAGCGGGAATACCATCTGTAGCAGCTGCTCTGCGAATGGCTCTGACAGGCGGATTCGCGACGGCAGGGTGCCAGCAATCTATGCCTGGGACTGCGGGAGCGGTGTCGCGGCTGGGACCTTGAGCGGGACGAAGAGCGGGACGAAGAGCGGGAGCGGCATCGACGTCCGTACTGTGAGGAGCTATGATAGCTTCTCGGAGATAATGACCTCCAATGTCGTCTGTCCTGGTCCCGGCGGGGCATGCTCTGATCGCGAAATCTGTGTTCCCTCGAGGTGGAGTGGTGCCTGGAACCCCTGCTGCTCAGCACCAAGCCAGACAACCTGGTGGGGGTCAACAGGAACTGGTGCAGGCTGCGTGGGGGACGGTCACTGTGCAGAGAACGGCGTCGGGAACCTTCCCTCGACCATAAGCAGTACCGTCCAGGCGGTGACTGTGGGGGTCCGAGTGGCGGCTTGCCTCTGAACTGGGGAGCCGCTGGCATCGGTGCAACTGGTACCGGCAGAGACATAACGTCTCGAGCCGCCTGCAGGGCCTCCAGCATGGAGGGCACCTGAATGTGGTCTCTGGGGTCCGGGAAGGTCGGCTCGGAGTGGGCTGGGCTACTCGGCTTGACTTCAGTTGGAGGCCGTGAGGCCGATGGGGATCGAGAGCTGCCCAACACGGGTCTAGTCTCTCCCCCAGTCTTGCCCCGGTGCCTAAGTGGGGAAGACTTCTTCTTTGCCTTTTTAGAGTGCCCTGTGGACAGGGAGCAGTGCCGACTGGTGGAGGGCACTGTTGGGTCACCGCGCACTGATGCAGAGGTGCTTGGTGCCAACTCGGAGTGGTGCAGCGGTGTCGGGGTCAGGGCCAACTCCATCAAAATGGCTTGGAGCCATATGTCCCACTCCTTCTTGGACTGAGGCTTAAAGGATCTGCAAATTTTGCAGCAGTCGCTGAGGTGGGTTTCCCCCAGACAGCATAAACAGTCCGTGTGTTTGGGGACAATATATACCTTCAAGTCAGCGGCACTGCTATGGGTACCCGCATAGCCCCACAGTATGCCAACATTTTTATGGCTGACTTAGAACAATGCTTCCTTAGCTCTCGTCCCCTAACTCCCCTACTCTACTTGCGCTACATTGATGACATCTTCATCATCTGGACCCATGGAAAAGAAGCCCTTGAGGAATTCCACCATGATTTCAATAATTTCCATCCCACCATCAACCTCAGCCTAGATCAATCCACACAAGCGGTCCATTTCCTGGACACTACTGTGCTAATAAGCGATGGTCACATAAATACCATCCTATACCGGAAACCTACTGACCGCTACACTTACCTACATGCCTCCAGCTTCCATCCAGGACACACCACACGATCCATTGTCTACAGCCAAGCTCTAAGATATAACCGCATTTGCTCCAATCCCTCAGATAGAGACAAGCACCTACAAGATCTCTATCAAGCATTCTTAAAACTACAATACCCACCTGCTGAAGTGAAAAAACAGATTGACAGAGCCAGACGAGTACCCAGAAGTCACCTCCTACAAGACAGGCCCAACAAAGAAAATAACAGAACACCACTAGCTGTCACCTTCAGCCCCCAACTAAAACCTCTCCAGCGCATCATCAGAGATCTACAACCTATCCTGAAAGATGATCCTTTACTCTCACAGATCTTGGGAGACAGACCTGTCCTCACTTACAGACAACCCCCCAACCTAAAGCAAATACTCACCAGCAACCACACATCACTGAACAAAAACACTGACCCAGGAACCTATCCTTGTAACAAAGCCCGATGCCAACTCTGTCCACATATCTATTCAAGTGACATCATCATAGGACCTAATCACATCAGCCATACCATCAGGGGCTCGTTCACCTGCACATCTACCAATGTGATATATGCCATCATGTGCCAGCAATGCCCCTCTGCCATGTACATTGGCCAAACCAGACAGTCTCTATGCAAAAGAATTAATGGACACAAATCTGACATCAGGAATCATAATACTCAAAAACCAGTGGGAGATCACTTTAAGCTGTCTGGCCATTCAATGACAGACCTGCGGGTGGCTATCTTACAACAGAAAAACTTCAAAAACAGACTCCAACGAGAGACTGCTGAGCTGGAATTGATATGCAAACTAGATACAATCAACTCAGGATTGAATAAGGACTGGGAATGGCTGAGCCATTACAAACATTGAATCTATCTCCCCTTGTAAGTATTCTCACACTTCTTATCAAACTCTCTGTACTGAGCTATCTTGATTATCACTTCAAAAGTTTTTTTCTCTTACTTAATTGGCCTCTCAGAGTTGGTAAGACAACTCCCACCTGTTCATGCTCTCTGTATGTGTGTATATATATCTCCTCAATATATGTTCCACTCTATATGCATCCGAAGAAGTGGGCTGTAGCCCACAAAAGCTTATGCTCTAATAAATTTGTTAGTCTCTAAGGTGCCACAAGTACTCCTGTTCTTTTTGCGGATACAGACTAACACGGCTGCTACTCTGAAACCCGTCCGTGTGAGGATCACTCATGGGCATAGGCCTTTTACAAGTGTCGCATTACTTAAAACCCAGGGCATGGGGCATGCCCCGACCCGGGCACACTTAACTATTCTAACTATACTACTACTTTTTTTTTTTTAAACTACAGGTACTAACAACAAACTAAATGAAGTCCAACGAAGGAAAGCTACATCAGAGCTGGAGCAGAGCAGTTCTGAAGCACCTTCACTGGCGGCAAGAAGGAACTGAAGGTGGGAGGAGCACGCAGCTCCCCTTATACCACACCATGGCGGCGCCACTCCAGGCGTCGCTGGGGCACTCCCCTATCGGTACTGCTAAGGGAAAAACTTCCGGCACCGGTGCAAGTGATGAGCATGCACACCTATTGTGCAATGCACATGAGCAATCACTCGAAGAAGAATACTTCTTAAGCTGTTTTCAGTTAAGTCTGCAACTTTGGGGCGAGTGGTTCAGACCCTGGGTCTGTGTTGGAGCAGACTGGCGTGTCTGGCTTGACAAGACAGGGTTCTGGAGTCCCAAGCTGGCAGGGAAAATGGGCTCAGGGCTGGTCCACACTACCCGCCTAATTCGGCGGGTAGAGATCGATCTTCTGGGATCGATTTATCGCGTCTCATCTGGACGCGATAGATCGATCCCAGAAGCGCTCCCCCGTCGACTGCGGAACTCCTGCTCGCCGAGAGGAGGAAGCGCTGTCGACGGGGGAGCCTGCCTGCGCCCCGTGGACCCGAAGTAGGTACTTTTAGTTCGATGTAGGAAACGTCGACTTCAGCTACGCTATTCTCGTAGCTGAAGTTGAGTTTCCTATATCGATCCCCCGCCCCAGTGTGGACCAGCCCTCAGAGGTAGTCTCAGCACATCAGGTGACAGTCCCAAGGGGGTCTCTGTGACCCAACCCATCACAACGTGGTGCATGCAAAATCACGCCAGTGGAGGTGGGGTCACACCATTTACAGACGTACCAGAACGTCCAGTAGTCTGGGAATGTGCCTGTGGGCACCCAATTGCAGCTGCCCTGGCCTATGGAAGGGTACGAGCCCAGAGACAGAGACATCCTCCAATAGCTACCACCTAATGCCTGGTGTCAGAAATACACTGAGCTCCATGCCAGGGTGCTGTCTCAGGTGGGCTCCTGTCACTTCCTTCCCATCTGCACTCTATCCCCCATTCTGCAGCTACGCCAGCCTGCCTCCCCATGGCACCCCCACTTGGAGATCCAGGAAACCCTTGAATAAAATGTACTTGAGAGAAATAAGATGTTTTTAAAACTCTCTCTGTCATCACTCTGCTCCCTGGACACTTTGCTGGAGTCTGAGAAGATGTTTGGATTCGACTGGGCACTCCTGGGTCTTACCTCAGAGGCTGAAGAAGTGATGTGAAAGGGTATAGAGACAATACAATGGGAACTGTATTGACAACCACACTGAAACTACTTCTACGCCTGAAAAACCCAGCCCATATTCAGGGGAAGTTAGCGGACACTGGTAATGTGAGACACAAGGTGAGTGAGGTAACATCTTTTATTGGACCAGCTTCTGTTGGAGCAAGAGATAAGCTTCTGATCTTACACAAAGCTCTTCTTCAGGTCTGGGAAATGTCATGGCTAAATACAAAGTGGAACAGATTGTTTAGCATCAGTAGTTAACCCGTAGTCCACCTTGTCTCCAGAGGCATAGTTCGACTTCTATATTGGGGTGGTGGGGGCAACTCCAGTCAGGCCAATGGGGCCATGTGTGTGTGTATGGAGGGGGAATTCCGCACCTGCCTGAGGCTTGCAGTTTTTTTTGGGGGGAGGGGCAATGCCCCTGCCCTCTCCCAACTCTGTCCATGCTTGTCTCTCTAATATCCTGACACCAACACAGCTACAACAACACTACATCCTGCTGATGGGACACAGTTACACACACACCCACACACACACACACACACCCCGGAGGACAAAACCCCTGTCATATTCCCGAGCACAGCAGATCCTGAGCATGCACACCTGCACACACACCCAGACGATGGGAAGTGTATTTCCGAAGGTATTGTCAATGGTAGTATGT